TATTATGGATGGAAATTATGTTTAATTTTTCACCATTTTATGATTAATTGACAAGTCAAGGAGCTAATCGTTAAAATAACCGATGGCAAAAATAACGTGATGCTCAAAATGACAGCTGAAAAACATGTCTCCCCCTGCAGAAAGTGTCCCTACTTCACAGGAAAGTCCACCGAACTCACAGTTGATAGTTTTCAAAGAGACTATTTCTTTGATAGAAAGTAGTTCCGAAGAGAACTCTTCACTTCAAGGTCCGTGGATAATCCCGAGTAACAGAGACACAGATTTTGGAGAGGCACACCGCTTTTCAATTTTTCAGATGTCATTTTTTTTTTCAGTGCTTTGAGGTTGCCGAACTGAATATTTCAAAAAAACCCAGGGACATTAAAGTCAAACCAGCTGCATAGTTAAACACCACAAGGGGTTAGTGAGAAGATAGATATTTTTTTTCCTGTGATCTGGGCGAGCCAGACCTTTGACCTTTTTAATATTGTTGCTAATAATAGCTGGAAAACACTCAGATCACTGCTGTACTAACAGATATCCACACATGGAAAACCTTAGATTTTAACAGAGCAATTGTACAAATAGTGTTTAATTTTTAAAAATGTCTCAGAAAGTGAATCCAAATGTGAAGATGTTATCCCACGCTACATTATGTAGGCTAAATGCTGTTACAGTACATCACCAACAGATGGCCCTCTTACACTACCATGCAACATACAGTTTCTGTGAGCATCCTCTGTATCTCTTCCTCACCCTCTTCCGTTCTCAGCATCTCTGTAATCTTCAATGGCCAGGCGGAGTTTGCGACGATGCATTAAACTGCTGACACCTAAACCCAGCTCCAGGTCTTCATCTGTTAGTCCCAGTAAAACCTGCAACATGTCATAACGGACCAGCTGAATCCACTTCATCAGGATTTAAGTGGTTTCACAGCAACAGGAATGCAAGCGTCCACCTGCATCACGTGAGTGCCTTTACCTTGCCACTCTTGACGTTTTCCGAGCAGGAGCGGATGTACATGGGCATCGCCATGACAACCTCCAGCCAGGCCTGCACCGTTCCCGCCCTCCACTGAGACATGGGTGTGGTCCTGGCAAGCTCCACCTGCTGGAGGCGGTCCAGCTGGTCCTCCGAGCCGTCCGACAGGTTGAGGCTGTGGCGGGTGGGGCTGGAGAGGCTGTCTGAGTCTGGGTGGGGGGCAGGTGAGGTGGGTGAAGGGGGGGGATGAGGGGTTAAGAAACATGGGTGATGCAGTTGAAGTCGTGAGTGAAGGCAGAGGTGACGTAAGTGACGAGAAAACAACGTTAATGCAAACAACAACAAAAAAAACCCTGATAACAGCTTCATATAAAATCATACCCAGTGTGAAGGGAACAAACAAGCTTTTAACAGCATCCTAAGCTTCTGGCTGCGCGACAACAAGCTAAGTGTTTGCCAGTAATGCTGTAAACAAAGTTGCAGCTTTTTATAAACGAGCTCCTCACTTAAGAAGTCCATTAAACTGGCAGCTGTGTGAGCTGCTGAATTAACATGACTCATCTGTCTAAATTAGCCTGCAGCAAAAGCTCTCCGAAGATGAAAAAAAACACATGCAATTAGGAAAAGCATGTTACATTTTGAAGCATTATGATCACATCAACTTCACATTATTACTATTCACTGGAGGAGGTGGGGGGAAACTCTAATGTCCCTAAATGTGTCCCTATGGTCTTGTCATGCTTACCTTACTAAGTTGATCCGAATATTTCCTGTTTACATTTTTTCTCGATATTAATATCTGGAGGGGTAATCAGGCTGGCCAAGGACATGATTCATTTACTTCAGTATTGTTTGTGCAATTTTAAAATCCCTACCAGCAGGTGGCAACGCGGCACCAGTTTGACATTCAGCAGCTGGTGTAGCATCGTGTGCTGCCTTCATTGTCATTCTGCTTGAAGTATCCTCACCTCTGGCTGTGCAGCAACACTTTTTTTTTTTTTCTCCGATAACAAAAATGACATACCTCAAAGTCACCTGTCTCATTTAATATGTCCAGAAAGCCTCTACATTAATACCAGCACCCTCAGAATACCAGCAACACTCTTTGGCTTACCCTTTGACTGCACTCGAGCCATCAAGGCTGAAACTGTAAGGACTCCTGGGAAGCTAATGAGCCTTGGATAAAAGCATCCACCTGAGAGCTCGGTCTTAATGGACAGTGCAGAGTCTTTGTCCTTCTTGTTGGTCGCTACACTCTCCACATCCATTTGTTATTTCAGTGAGCGGGGAGGGCGGGGGGGAGGAGGGAGAGAAGATGTGGGATGAAATGATGCTCTCTATCTGAATCATTCACTTTGAAATGTTGCCTGGGGCATTCAAGTTTAAAACAGAACAAAAAAAATAAATCAACAGGTTTTTTATTTTTTTTTTGGTTTGTTATTGTTGTTGTTGTTGTTTCCTCTGTGTTTCTGTCTCTTGTTTCGTTTCATTTCCAGTAAACAGCCGATGGAAACGTTACTTTTTGGCAGGCACCGCTGGACCATTGTGTGTTTGCTCAAAAGGAGATTCACGACTGGATGATTGCAGCGTCCAAATAAACAGGTTTTTATTAAACCTGCCTTCAGTAATTCATCTCGAGCTTGTTGGTTTTTATGTGCCCTCCTAAGAGCAATGTATAAACTGGCGGTGCACTTCTAAGTGCCCTTCTGAGAGCAGTTCATTTTAAGCTGAATAAATCTGCTCTTTGGCCAGAAATGCACTCTTGTCCATATACAAAGTCTGTTTTTTTCACTCGTAGTGAGTCCGAACAAAGACAGAACCCGATGGAAGCGGATCGGCTCAGAGGGGCATCCCACAGTTCCTGAGCTGTTTTACGACTGAATAGTTTTGTATGTTTTATCTGACGTCATGAACACTGGTGAGTTCTGTGAGCATCATGATGGATTGTTCTCTTTTGTAAATTGCACTTTGCACAAGACAGAAGAGGCTATTTTGTTTAAACCATCAATGACGTTGGAAATTATTGATGCAATACGGCAGGAATTGCTTGTGTGATGACCAAAAAACTAAATAGTAAATAGAAAATAGCTTGATATTTTGGGAGATGATTTGCCGTTTTGCTGAGCGTTAGATGAGGAGATGGATACTGCATTAATGTCTGTATGATGAATATGAAGCTACATCCAGTGTTTCCTGTTTTTGAGTTCATTACTAAAGCTTGAATTATGTTTTTAAAAAGACTGAAGGAGTAATTTGACATTTTGGGATGTTTCCTTATTTGCTTTCTTGCTGAGCCCCAGATGTGAATCTATAGTTGGTCTTCTTGTAGCCTATGCTAAGCTAAGCTAACTGCTCCTGGCTGTAGCTTTACACTGCATCTAGCATTCATTTTCAAAGTCATATCAACTCTGGAATAGAAAGCAAATAAGTGTATTTTCCCAGAATGCCTGAATATTCCTTAAACTGCACTCACTGTTGCTAAGATATCTGGTAAATGTGGGAAATGTTCAGGTCTACTCTGACGTCCACGCTGAACAAAGTATCACAGAAAGTTCAAGGAAAAGACTTGATGGAGGTCGTTGGAGTACAGAGGAAAAAATAACACGTGCCGTTGCCCTCGAATTCATGCTTTATGTGTTGCCACTTAATTGTTTTCAGATGGTTCATTAGAACTTGAAGAAGTGCTTAACTCCAAGGTCGTTGTGTGATGCTGTCTGAGAGTTAGAAGGCATCTGCAGACACAGTTTGCAACCCAGCACAACTCTTTTTCTTTTTTTTTTTTTTAAAAAGCAACTGGAACCGCTGTACCTTGGTCCTACTGAGTCTGATTGATTGCTTCTTGGGTCGCTTCACTGTGTTGAGAGTCCGATGGAGGTCAGACAAGAGGGGTCGGTGTTAGAGGTCAGGGGTCAAATCAAAGCAGAACATTATTGACACATTGTGCTGACACATATGAGCTCCGTTCCAACAGTCTAGCATGGCTTCATCTCCCCTCTCTCTCTCTCTCTTTTTTTTTTTTCTTTTGTTTTCCGATTATCGATTCCAATATGTTGCAGGAGAAAGATATGCTTTCTGGTGTGACTACGGAGTTAGAATTGAGAAAGAGAGGAAAGGAGGCCATTTGGAAGCTTTTGGATTGCAGTCCTCTCACAGATGGACTTGCAGGGCTGAGGGAAGCTAACGCATATGTTAAAAATGGCAGCCCCCCCCTAGCATAAAGGACGAATCAGGATTAGAGTCATACCACAACAAATGAACACTTACAGACACACAAACATTAACACAGGGAAAGAGAGGACAGCCACATGGAAATTCAGCGTTATTTATTTTATTTCAAAATAATTCTTATTTTTCTCATTTAGTTCTTTTTGAGCGTAACTTTGTTGCCATGCCTTTAAAAGTTTGCTACTATCCACTTCTTCTAAAACATCTCAGGGCTTCAGAATAGAAGTCCTCCGCTGAGGCCTACATCTTTTTTTTGACTTTAAATAAAACTCTTTCATAATAATATTAATTTAATTTCTGTAACGTTATCTCATTTACAAAAAAGGAAAATATCTGCGGAAGGAAACAAAACAAAGAGACCGTGGCTCAAAACAGAAAGTGATACAATATTTTTCATTTGATATGTTATCTCCCCCCCATCAGCAGAGGATCATAAAAGTTGGTTAAATGAAAAAAAAACCCAAAAAAACAAAAAAAACAGCCTAGATTTTCTTATGTTTCTCTGAAAGTTTGATGAAATAAGCTATTGTTCCTATACAGTTTAATGCATGGTGACTCATCTTTGAATTACCTTAGTGATGAAGTCGGTGAGCCTAAAACGTAGGCTGTGCTAAAGGTTAAAAGATAATCTCCTCTCCTGCTTACATGGATGCTCCTTTGGCAAGCGCTGCGGTTAAATACAGCTCCAATGTAATCTGGAACTCTATAGTGTTTCAGCTGAGGCCGACAAATACCCAGTGTTAGTTTAATATCGGGGAAGAGAAAAGATTTCCTGGGGGGGTTCGTGCAGACTCCGACTCAATCCAGTGAATGGATGAAAAAAAAATTCCAATGTCTTGTGCTTGACAAAAAAAAAAAAAAAATGCTATTAACCTTTAGCATAAAGTTAATTGCTTTCATTCAGCGATGGCTTGAACTCTGCATCAGAATTTTTTTTCTTGAGTTCACAGGGTCACGGAAGAAGTTATGGATTTGCTTGATTAGCGTGCTTAAATCGTGATTTCTAACCTTCAGCGTTAGCGCTCGGTCATGTTCTAGTAGTCTGCACCTCTTAATTGAAGTTCTGGTTATCTGGTTAAATAACCTTAATTCCAGACATCTTTAAAAGCCTTGACCAGCAGCCTCACATCTACTATGTAAGAATAATTAATGTTTATGCTTATTTTTCTTTTAAGACTAACTTTTCACAAAAGAATCCTACTCCCAGCATTATAACGACAGCTACAAGCAGCTGTAAGATCCTGCAGAGAGAAAATGTCACAAAGCCTCATGAATAAGCCGAATAATTAAAGATTCAAAGTGCAGTGCTGGGTTTGGTGACTTTGCTGACCTTTACTATTTCAAATGTAATTTTGCATAAAGAGCCTTGTAGGTGCAGAATAAAACTAAACTATGTTGAGTTTGGGATGTTAAGCTCTTAAACATTAATCAGAGCACTTTTTTTTTTTTTTTTTTGCATAACAGAGGGTCAAGTTTGCAAATTTAATCATTCAAAATGGAGGAAATCATGAATAAACATCATGAAATCAGTAACTGACCTCTCTTTTTTTGTTTTGTTTTGAACAGACAGTTTATCACCTTCTTGACAACATACCCAGGGGAAGACATCTCTCTTTTAGTGGGGTTTTGTTGAACATGCATTCGGGGGACTGGGACTATGTGCATGCATGTCACACATGTACCTTAGGCATGTACCTTCTATCTGAGCAGATAGAAAACACATTTCTGACATTTCCTGTTTGGCGTCATGATGCTGTGGAACAACATAGAAGGTTCAGTCCTCGCTTAGCAGCTTCTTTGAAGTCTCTTTGAGTCAACATCAAGGAGTGCTTCTGCACTGATTTTTTTTTTTTTTGGCGGTTGAGGGATGTGTTAACCGACAACCGAATTGTAAGTGGATTTAAGGAGTCTGCATGTTGCCTACAGGAAACTGTTCTCATCATGGCAGTGTGGAAGAAGGGGATGGACCAAGCAGGACAATAAACAGGGAGGAGTTTTAAGTTAAAAGGTAGTGAGAGGAGGGGGGAGTACATGTCAAAAATAACAAAAGGCATTCAGGACAAGGAGACATTTACACGCACAAAGTGCACATCAACTGTTGTTATTTACAAGTACAGCAGTCCTTCAAGTTTCCAGTTGAGTGAAAACAAAAAGTCAAAATGTAAAGAACAATTAAAAGATCCAATAACACAGCTGTTTTGGAGGGCAGATACAATAGAACATGTCCACGTTGTTGCTGTGTTACACTCTCCACGCTATTTACACGTCTGTACATACATGCAGGTGCAATTTGCTCGTTAAGGTATACACTTCAGCGAAGCAAGATGCGCCTCCGGCTTCTGACATGGCCTCTGACCATGGGCGACACACACATGCACACGCTCTCACACGCATACACGCATCGGTATGCATGCATGTGAGACTACACAGGCACACACGTTATTATACAGTATCTGTACACGCTGACATCGAACACGCGCCCATCCTCTCATACATGCGCACTTCAACACAATGTCGTCTTCTGATAATTGCCACAAAAAGGCTCTCCAGGTGGTTCACTCGGACATGTGTGCTTTACCAGTCTGCATCCTCCTCTATGTAATAATCAGGTGTTGAAGTACCATCAAACAAACCAGGGTCGAGGGACTTGCGTTGCTTTCCTCGGGCGAAGACACGCGACAGAGAGCCCAGCCCCATCTTCTCTTTCTTCTTCTTACGCTTCGCCTCCTCCAGATCTTCTAGGGACTGCAGGAGGAGAGAGGGAGAGAGACGGAACAGAGGGAAGAGGAAGATGAAGAGATGGGCAAAGGAACAGAGAGCAGAGGAGTCAGTGAAGGGGTGCGGAGTGGGCGATAAAGACCACAAGATAAAGATCACAGCACAAAGGGGAAGTGACACTTGACATGCTGCCAGGCATGCACTTATTCAATGACCACAACTGGTTTTCACATAAATTCAAGTCACTACTGCAGAGTGAGTACACAACAGACTGCATGGGGCAAACATGAATTCAGCCAGAACGATGGTGGAAGGAGACGACAGCGGCCAGGCAGCAGGACAGACAGTCGGCTACAAAGGAGGCGATTACTTGGGAGGGTGCGATGGTGGGCAGCTCTTACATTGCAAAGGGAGTGAGTCCGATGGCGTGGTGAGTTGATGTCGCTGGGTGTGGATGACCGGTCTCCCTCCACAGCAGAGGCGTCGGAGATGATGGAAGGCTGACGCGAGTGGCACGGGCTCACCCGCACGGCAGCCACTAAACGGGATGAGAGGGAAAAGAGAAAATGCTTGTTTCTTTCTCGGGTGTTTTGGGCACCAAAAGTCGTGAACAGGGACAATCTGATTCCTCTCCATCAATGACATGTATTATTGTTATTATTTTTCTTTTTAAAAAGTCGGTAACAACCAAAAGCCTGAAGTCATTTGCAATCAGCTGCAGTTGCTAAGCAACAGTGAAAACAGCCTCACAGAGGTTGAGAGAGTGTGTGTGCGCGCACCAGTGCGATTGATACATACAGTACAACCAATTGCATAGAAATTTGGGGTTCGTGACTGTTCACACGGTATGCTTCTTTCTCCTGATGTCCCCAATTAATCAGCAGCTTGCGTGAACCCAGAGCTGCCCTTTAAAACAGCCCCTGGGAGGACTGTGATGAACTCCTACTCAGGGGGCTGCAGGGCTAATGTCTGTAGAGCTTTCTTTTAAAGAGTAGTAGAAGGTGCCAGCTCTCTGCTTTGATTATACATAGTTTTAACTATTTCGTAAAGGTTAAGACAAACCTCGCAGTTCGAGGCTGGTGTGTACGACCACTTTTCTCTAATGATAGTATTTTTGTGTAATAACACGAGCGATGCCTATTTGTTGTACGCTGTTTTGCCTTCACATTGTGCTCAAATAAAGCTCAACCCTGTGTGCTGACATTTGCAGCCAAAACACAAACTGCTCAACTGAATTTCACTTGAATTTTGAAAACAACACCCCCTTTTTGTAGAAGGGTGAGTGCACTTGGCTGGCTGCTCTGCTACAATACCTCACAGTTTCCATCTGCGAGGCCATGCTATCAAAGTGATGGAGCAACACGAAAAAATGAATTGTTTGAACTTTAAATGCGTTTTTTTTCCCCCCCAGTTTATTTCAGCCACAAATGTCGCTATATAGGGATCTTTCTCCTGAGGTGTATGCCAGTCAAATGACTGTGAGGGGTCTGAAATATAGAAATACAAGCCAAGAGAATGAAGACGAAAAGGCGACCAAAAGTTCAAGTTCCTTCAACAATACAGGCAGTTTATGAATACCATTTACTCACATTGAACAACAAAGAAAGAGTGTCTAAACGCAACGGATCCTTCGCTGCCACCATCATCAAATACGCAGGAAACATTTGTGTGCAGCAAAGACAAATGGAAGCTGTAAAGCCAAAAAATAAAATAAAATCTCCACTGCCACATAAAGCGCATGACACGTCACAACTGGAACATCGTCCGTGGCCAACAACGTGGTCGCACTGAGCGGATGGCAGGAGTGGATGTGTGTGAAGCAGGTTCACATGAGCATGCAGAGGGTAAATGACGACCTATTTGCGCTGGTGTCGGCCCTACCTTGTCTGTCGGTGGGATGCCCCGTGTGGACGTAGAGGGTCTGCTGACTCTGTCTGATGGCAGCGGTCAGGGGAAGATCGGCCTGCATCACCCACTCCTGGTTGTTGCCGTTGACGACCGCCTCCGTTGGCATTGCCAGTGAGTGACGCTTGGGCACGTCCTTGGTCAGGGTGGCTAGTGACTGTTTGGCCTTAGAGGAGGTAAGACAGACAGATGCAATAACTCAGGGAGCGAAGCCATCACGAGAAGAGTCCTGCAAAGAAATCTTTATTTTACCTCACTGGGTGTTTTTCCTCTTCACTTGACATATGCTATATATGTGTGTGTGTGGTACATGCACATTAGGGCTGTCACAACATCAGATACCAAATAGTTGCTGGCAATCGATTGTTACAGTAATATCATATTATTACATGACATTCAAATTGGATGTTTAATACCACAGTTATTGTCAAAACCGGTATATCGTGACACCCCTAATATACATGTCGAGTGATGTGAAATTTGACTACAAATGTCTGAAAGCATGCAGATACGTTCTCCCCTGGGCTCCTCGTGTGGCTGTTGTCTCATGAAAAATGCAGCTGTGTTCTCGTTCTCTCTTTTGTTGTGTGACAAATGGCCAGACTAGGAGGTGGAGGAGGTGTTTGCTGTTTGTTACAACGTTGAATGTGTCGTTTCTGTAACTTTAATGAACACTATTGCTCTGTGTTGCCTTAAATGTGGAGCAAAAATGAGCCGCCGGGGCCTTAGAAGATGTGTTCGTGCGTGTTTATTTTGTGTCCATACATTGTTTTTTTCCTTGTTTCTACGTTCTCTGATTAGCCTTCACTCGGTGTTGGTGTTTTACAAATGCTTGAAATCTTGTTATTGTGCGATTCTTATCATCATGCCAAGCAACGGCAGGCTGCAAATCACCGGCACAATCAGCTTCACTGCAATCATGTCTACCTACCAGCAGTCAAACAATTATCAATCACAGTCTTTGACATGCAAAACAGAATACAATCACAAGTCTTCGGCGTAATCATTAGTTGTCAGAATATTGACGTATTCTTTTTTTTTTTTCTTTCCCCCCCCAAGCATTTCACAGCGTTCAATTAGACCTCAAGTACATTCAGTTCAATCACAGTGGGAATCGGTGGGACCACTGATGTTAGGATCACTGGGACCAGTAGGGGCGGGCTGAGGGGTTAGTCAAAAACGTGCATCTGAGAAGGGGGAGCTTTCCAAAAACGACAATTAGGTCACAAGTAGGAGAGAGTTCCAGGGAGCAGGAGGGGCAAGAAAAGTCACATTTTTAAAGCTGGGGACCTGTCCTTACCGCCATGACCCTAGGAGAGTAGTCCCTGTCCACAAGCCGCTCAAACACCCGGAACTCCATTCTCTGATTGACACAGTTACTCATCTGGGGGGTTGGAGACATGAGGGATGGCTATGCTGTACATTCAAAGGCTTTCCATGTAGTGATTATGTGTAGTAACAGTGCATAGAGACAGACAGACGTACTGAACACCCATGAAACAGAAATCAAACTTTTGCTGCTGTTGTTTGGAAAAAATTTCTTTTCCTCGACTTGTCAGTAGTTTTAACACTTGAGATGGAAATTTGAAGCATGGAGGCAGTTTGGTTGGCATGTGTCTCCTTTCTTACCCTTATATACTATTTTAGTGATGACACTTTTTTTTAACACATAAAATCAGCAACTGCAGCTTTAGAAATCTTCTATCTTCTTATCCATGACGTTCTAAACATACTGCAAGAAGTTCTCGGCCTCATCAAGAAAAAAGAGGCGTAACTCCCATTTTGGGGCATAACTAAACACTATAAAACCTTTTGTCACTGTCCACAAAATGTCTAAAAAGGAGATGAAAGCTGGCGTGTTGTCATTTCAGGATGAAGCATCCGTCCACACAGCATTAGTGGCAATTACTCGACCTGGAAGATTTCTAGAAGGCTGACGGTACCAAAGAAGGTTCATGGAGCAACGATTCAAAAGCCACATTTGGCTGCTTCTGCCACCTGATGCTGTGTGGATGGATGCATTGTCCTGGAGCAACGGCACTCCAACTCACTGTTGTCCTCTCCTTTTTGCTTTGATTGCTTCAAACATTAGAATTTTTGCAGACAGACATAGAAGACTTTATAGTATACAGCTATGCCCCATGATGGGAGTTTTTCCCTTGTATCCAGGGGAAGTCGAGAACTTCTTGAAGGTATCCTCGTATACAACTCAACAACCCCACAGGAAGAGATAAAGCATTATCAGGGGCTGCCTCTCCACCTGTCTGTCTATGTGTCAGGCTACTCCCTGTCTGCCTTCCTGTCTCACCATGGCCAGTTCAGCCTCCAGCTCCTTGATGCGGTTCTCCTTGAGGTCGAGCTGCGAGCGCAGCATCCCCGTGTGCTCCGTGGCTTCCTTGGTCTGCCGTCGCAGGTCCCACTTTTCTCTCTCCAGGAGGTCTTTCTCCTTGGCCAGTGCCTTCACTGCGTCCTCGCTCTCCTAGCAGAGACACAGATCCTGATGGATTGGTTCACATATCAAGCCTACCTAAACGTGCAGCATGGTAGCGCCTCCGGGCTGTGAGTGAAGTTTACTTTTGTGTTGCCCTGATGTCACACTGGGGATGAAACCGGCTTGTCAGGTGTATCAGCTATCTTAATCCTTGTTACACAGTGCCGATACAAAAGTATTCACCTTCCTTGGACGTTTTCTCCTTTTATTGCTTTTTGACATTGAATCAATGTCAATGTAATTTGGATTTTTTTTTCAACAAGAATTTACAGAAAGTGAAAACACATTTGTGCAAAGTAATGTTAATTATTGCACAGGTATTCACCCCCTTTAAAGTGACTCACCTAATTCAACAGAGGTACAACAAATTGGTGCTACAATTCACATATTCAATGAAATGGAGATCACCTGAGTGTGGTTAATGCGTCTCTAGTAATTGTATTATTAAGACATCTGGAAGGTGTAGTCACTGGTGAATCGGTACTCCTGGATATAACCACACCACAACGATGAAAGAACACTAAAAGCAACTCGGTATAAAGGTTATTGAAAAACATAAGTCAAGAAAATTTCCTGGATACCCCTTGGAGTACAGTTAAATCTATTAATAAGAAATGGATGGAATATAGCACATAGTAAATGTGCCTGGAGCAGGCCGCTTTCAGAAACTAAGTGCAAGAAAGACGACAGCGAGGGAGGCCACCAAGACACCGATGACACCTCCTCTGTTTGAACTTTGACATGAAAGAGAATTTTTTTTTGTAAATTCTTGCCAAAAAATCCATCTGAAATTAAATATGTCGAAAAGTAATAAAAGGAGAAAACATCCAGGTTTTTATAGACACTGTTGGATTTTTTATAAACTGCACAGCTGAAAAGGTGAAACCAGATCTCGTTGACGGTGTTGGACTAACAGTAAACTTGGTTGGACCTGACTTGTAATTGGTAGTAATGTAAAAATCCTCAGGCAGTCACATGTGCTGAAAGTGCAACCATTTGTTCTATATGTACACCTCACACATGCATAGAATATCCTTATCCACAGTAAAAAAAGTGAATAAAGAACAAAGCTTCATATTATTTGGTTGTGTCAAGGTTTGGGCGATGACTACGGTTGCCTAAGATTTATTTTTGTACTATGTGCATTCAACTGCTACAAAGAAAGAGCCTCTGTATAGATGTCTGTGTGTGTGTACACAGTGAGAGTAGGGCTGGCCATACTTTTCTGTGCTGCTCATAGTTGCGTATGAAGTCCCGGAGCTGCTCCTCCCGGCTCTCCAGTGTGGCATAAAGCTGCTGCATCTGATTCACCAGGTCCGCTTTCTCTGCCTTCAGACGCTTACGGTCCGACTTCATGGCTGCGAAAAGAGCAAGACAAAAAAGTGAGTCAGAATCAGAGTCCTATCAACGTTTAGCTGTGAGTCCATTTACATATAAAGAAGAAAATAAGTGTGGCTCCATCACTTTTTGGTGGTGTTTTCATGATATGAACTGTTAAAAGCAGCTTAGAATTTGAAGTAAGTCATTTAGTTGTAAACTACTCGAGAAAATGTGTTCTTCTAGTTTTCTGCTAACACGGTATGAGGTCGTATCTCATATTTTTATGAATGTAAATCCTACATTTCTGCATTTGTGAGCACAAGCATGAAGCATCTGTACTGACACAACTGTTGGTAAAATTCATTTGGCACAGACTTCCACAAGATTCTGCAAAAGGTTTTCCATTTGGAGGTTCCACTGAAACTACAGTCCTTGTACTTGAGTGACATGCCATCAGATAAAGCTACCTCGAATATTAATTATTTATCACAGGTTTTAAGTGCAGCTTGCAGGAGAGCCATTACTCACAAGTGGACTAGAAAAAAACCTACAATAGATGATTAGATTAATATTAATTAGGATATCTTCAAAATGGAAATAATTACTTTTACTATCAAACTGCAACTGGGCAAGTTTTTTTTTTAAAAAAAAGAAAAGTAAATTGGACTGTGTACATTACTGTATGACCATCATTTGTTTAGTATGAGTTTCCATCTTTCTAGTCGACAGACATAGGCATCAGGAAGACTTAAATCCATTAGGTCAACTTTTTATTGACTACATTCTATTTTCATTTAATTTATTCTAAAGGTCCTTCTGTGCATATTTTAAGTATTTATTATCGCCTTTTTAAAAAATGGTGTTTTGCAGCAGTCCTTTTAAGTTCTTGCCTGATTAAAAAAGTCTTCCAATATTTATATAAAGTCAGCATGCCTTGTCCACGAGACCACACTGCAGCAAAAATAAGACTCTTCCAGCAAAATGCAGCTAAAGCTCAGGTGCTTCTCAGCAAACCTCTAAGAGACAAAAGAAGTACGCTGATTAATTCACAGCCTTTTAATTGTGCAAACAGACCAACGTTTCAACACCACTGTGTCTTCATCAGAGGCACACGCGGTGGCAGTTTCTTTATACATAATAACTAGGTTATTAAAGCTCCTTCAGATGCGAAGCGTGAGTAAAAACATTAAACACACCTGCTGTTGCTGGTCTAATATGGCGTGACTGCACGTTGAGAAAGACGTGAATCACACATGAACCCTTCTGTCAATCTTCTCCCGGCTGCTGGCTTCGTTAGAGGCTGAGTCGCTCTTTTCATCTATCTCTCTGCCACACACTCTCTCTAATCCTCTGGCACCTCACCCACGCATCATGATAAAGAATATGGTTCACTGTGGTTATTCAGAGAAGCTCTAATTTACTCAAAGACAACATCTCCTTTTTTTTTTTTTTCTATCTCTCTCTTCTGCATCTGCGTCTTCTCCCGCTTTCTCTTGATCCTCTCTACCTCTTCATGCAAGGTTGTTTTCCAGGCGCTTGTTTAAAGACGCGTTTTCTCGCAGCCGTCTTTCAAAACTGACAATATGGGATTTATTTATATGTAAGCTATTCAAACTGTGTCTGTCCACCTTTGTCTTCCTCAACTTGACATCCATTTCCTTACAGCACAGCAGCCCTGACAGTTGGATGTTTCCTCCCATCACACGGTTCTTTGTTTTCCCTCTTGATGCTTGTTATCATGTGTTCACCTTTTCTTTTTCCTTCCTCTGAGCCAGCTGTGTGTCATTAATTAACTTATATCACAGCCTGGTTAATTGTGTGACATTCACAAGTTGCGTCTGGGGAACATGCTCAGGCAAGTGGAATGGAAGTGGCGTTTTACAAGGACGGGTTCACCCTTCTTGTTTCCTCTCTTTCCCCCCCCCGCCGCCTCCCCTTTTCATATCTTTCACCCATTTTTACAGGTGGCGTCCCCAAGCCAAAGGGATGTGTCGGCCTCACTGGCTGGCGAATGAAGACAAATAAAATCCTCATCGCTCACTGACCGAGAGAAACAGGAAACCTCCCAGCACCTGCCTCAGGAAGTGAAATCAAAGACGTCTTTGAGATGAGCCAAAAAACACTGCTGCTGCCTCACATCCTGCACCTGTGACCATTTGGCAACACAAACCCTTTTCTGGTGTTGGAAGCAAGAAAGCTCTCACTGTGACTCCGTGAAAGGATCCATTCACGAGTGCAAATCATGTTATCGACGTTACTCACCGTTTATAACCTATATACAAACGCTTTTATTGGGCAAAGCTCGTCTTAGCGCTCTGTGTCATTCTGTTACACTCAAGAGATGGGGAGGCTGTGGCATGTCTCCTCCTGCTGACAGCCATATTAATGACTAACATACTCTGCAGCTCGGTCCAAGCCTCCAAGAATTATTACCAGATGAAGCGAGCGAGGAACCACCTGGGAACCGAAAGTAATGTGTGCGGAGCTGGAGAAGGATGATGACATGGAGGGGAAGCCGTTTAATTGTCTTTTCATGGAGAAATTACACATCTCTATGCAATCACCTGCCTTGAAATCCTAACTGACACAGTCTGTAGGCTTTGACGTGAGAGGTCTGTGACTCAAAGCGTCCCTTTCCAGTAAAGACGGCAAGAAGGCAGAAGTGTCAGAGCAGGAACATGATACTTTTAAGACAAACCAAGAACAAAAAGCTTTCAGTCAGATATGAACACAGAAATATCGAACTAAAACATCCCTCTAAGTCCCAGAAACAGAGATTCGGAGGTGCTACTTAACCCTATTCAGGACTTTTGGGGTCTTTTGGACCCCAGGCCATTTAGTTTAGGCGACAGATATTGTTTTTTTTTTTTTATCATTGAAGATTTTTTTCAAATATAAAAAGAGGGACATTTGTCATGCATTTGGAACCAAAATACATCAACTTATCAGAGAATGTATTTAACATAGTATAAAACTATATAATGAATACCAACAATTATTTTGCACATATTCTTTCTTGGATACCCAATGGACCTTGGATGGATGACATGAATGCATGCTTTCATATGAAGGCAGATGTGGTTCGTCGTGGTTTTTTTTATGGTGTCACTGTCATAACAACGTCCAAAAAGGAGCGAATGCTTCTGTCCAACCAAAATAAACTTCTGTAGGGGTGTAATCCCTCAAGAAACAACGGGAGACCAAAAGCAGCATGGGCTATATGTGAGAAACACGGAGAAAAGGAAGCAGGATTGTGTTTTTTGGCGCTAATTTGATAAAAGTGCTGTTTTTTATAGAGCTGTTGCTATAAAGAGATCACTAGTGGAGTTACTGCGTTTTCATTACAATTGCTAATATCAGCTTAGCAATCGAAATAAAAAGTTTTTGGTGTGTCACCCCTTTTTGCTTTAATGACCGCGTGCGCTTAAGCCGCAAAAGCCTCTTCCAGCATGGTCTGATAGTGTTCCAAGGAGCTTCTTGTGATGTCTAAAATGCTTGGCTTCCTCAAGCTGGATGTTCAGTAGTGTTGAAGTCAGGTTTAGTAGTTCTTTCGAAGCTTTGAGGTGCGTTCGGGCTCATTATCTTGCTGCACTGTGAATCCTTCTCCAGAAAGATGCAAACCAGAGGGTGTAACGTGTCTCTGAAGAATGGAGTGCCACTTCTTCCTTGATCCAACTCTGCAAAAATACCCCCAGACCTGAATCCTGCAACCACCATGTTCCACTGTGGGTTTGACACACTGCAGTGTCACTCAACCCCCTTGTTGGTCTTCTTACATCCTCCCTTCTGGTAAAGCTTAACTTTGGATTCTTCTGTAAATATGACTTTTTTTTTCTCCAGTTGTCTGCTGTGAAATGCTGGTGTTTGGCTTCCTTCCTTTCACAGTGCTGCTGTTGCTTTTCATTTTCTATTTAGCTCATTGTGATGAAGTTATTTTCCATCTCTCAGCGAACAAAGCTGGGAGATGATTTATCCTCTAACAGCGCGGTCACTTCTGGCCTCCCTGATCGTGCTTTGGATGCAACTGAGTGTTTCGGGGGGGTTATGCAGTCTAAACCTGAAGCCTAGACATTATCTGACATTGAAAAAGCTTCTTGTTGCTCGAAAAACTATTAGACTTCTGGCATTTAGCTCCGATGCCATAATCTACAGCGAGTGCGGGTATTTTTTTCTTCATTTTACACGTCAGACCTTTTGGTGTTTTTAAAAGCTTCTAAATCCTCAAACTTTCTAATTATTTCCAGGTTTGCATGAAACTATGACAGCAGTCCGATACGGTCTCTCTGAGGTATTCGTGTACTTATTGTTTTATTGTATTGAGTCTTTGTCTGAAATGTGAATAAACGTTGCCTTTGTGCACAACTGTGTGTGTGCCTACATGCAAATGCAGCCACTAAAAGCTACTCCAGCCTGTGTTAGCAGAACAAGAGCAGGTCAGGACTCTTGGAAAACAAACATTCGCTATCAAAGGTCCGCATCACTGTTCCCACTGCCCAGTGTTAAGAACAAGAGCACCTGCCTGTATCATGCTCTCCTGACACATTCTCTAAAATCTGCATAAGTGGTTTTTAGCTCGGCGCACAAAGGCTTCTTTTCTGCTACCAAAGCCCTCGTGCTTTTAAGCATTTTAATGTGAGCATCCACCACTGTAGTGTGCTAAAAGCCTTTGTCTGCCGGGCTCTTCTGTGACGCTTTTGCTACCAGAGGACTTAATGCGCGAGCCAACTCATTAGTTACTAAACAGAAACGCTGGAGTCCTCGGGGAGTCCACTCTTAAAAATAAATTAAAGCAGTGGTTCTTAACCTTTTTTTTTTTATCAGTGTGACCCGCTTTTGAGGGTGAAAATATTTTCAGTTTGCTTTTAGCTTCACCACAATTCACTAAAATTAGCGAAGGAACACCCCCCGGGGACCCCTCCTCGCGACCTGAATACATTTTGGGAAATTTCTTGCTGACAGTTATGTGCAGAGACTCATCCCAATCTCGATAAAAAATAAATAAATAATGAAAAGAAAAAGCAGCTGGTTAGCTTAGAAT